TGTCTCCGCAGGTCTCTTTCTCCGAGTCCGGTTCCCTGGGCAATTCCTCAGGCAGCGACGTGACCTCCCTGTCGTCGCAGCTCCCGGACACCCCCAACAGTATGGTGCCGAGTCCGGTGGAGACGTGAGGGGAACCCTCCCTGCCGCCTCGCGGACCTCGCATGCTCCCTGCATGAGACTGACCCGTGCTCAGGCCTTGCCAGCTCCGACCGCGCTCGGGCCCCGGTAATTGTTATTATTGTTATTTAAAGAGAGAGGACCGAAAGAAACGGTCGCGACCGCCCCGAGCGCCGGGGACGCAACCTGCTTCTGCCAGACTGGAGACCCCCCCTCTCCCCTCTCCGAGGACTTTGCTTCTTTTTGGAACCAGAATATGTGGTTGACTCGCCTTAGCTGGGCCCTCTCCTGCCTCGCACTCCGAGGCTGTGATTGCTTCCGCCGGTCCTGCGCCCCACGCGCGGGTCCTTCCTGAGCGCGCAAGGTCGATCCCGACCTCGCCGAAAAGGCCGCTGCGCCCCACCTCGCCCACGCCGGCCTCGCGCTCCGGAGCGGCTGTGTCGGGAAGGAGGAGGGTGACAGGGACAGGCAGAGGGGAACGGACAGTCAAGCCACCCCCACGCGCGTGGTGGATGGACAAAGTGGGCACCAAACTTTCCCTCGGAAATGTTTTAAATTATCCGTCGACGGAGGACCCCCACCCCCACCCCCGGTGTGTGAGCCTTTGCCGACCAAACAAACGTAAGTTATTGTTATTTATTGTGAGAACAGCAGTTCTAGTGGGACGAATATTTTGATCTTAATAAAAAAAAAAAAAAGTCATACGAACTCGCCCCCGGAGCCGTGCTGTCCTGTGTGCTGAGGACGCGTGCGTGCGCCGGGCGGCGGGGCGGGCCGGGCGGGGATTGGGCGCGCGGGCCGGGGCGGGGCCGCCGGGGCAGCCGCGTTTGGGCGGGAAGGCCGTGGCGCAGGCGCGGGGCGACGGCCGCGCGAGGTAGGCCGGGCAGCGCGCTTGCCACGCGTGGGCCTCGACGTCGTATGGGTTTAGACCCCCGAGCGTGTGTGTCGAGGGGAAGGCTCCACGCCTCGGGGCGCGCGCGTCTTGGGCAGGCCTCGCCCTGCAGGGCGGGCTCCGCGCCGGGCGCGCACGCTGCTCCCCGCTCCGCCTGTCGATTCTCCGGTCTAGACAGAGGGGGAGGCCGGGCGGCGGCTCCTTATCTACGTTTGGCATCACCTGCAAGCGATACACGGAGGGAGCCACCGCCAGCTCCGCTAGGAGCGCGGCTGCCGGCGAGGAGACGTCCCACCCAGAACCAGTCTGGCGTGTCCTGGGTTTATTTTCTTTCCAGACCCGCACTGGCGGCGGGCGGGGATGGCCCCTGGGTATGCCGTGCCCAGGTCACCCGGTGTGACATTTCAAACCCCTGCGACTTGTTTTCTGGCTGTCCCGATCGCAGGAAATCACCCAGAGATACCCAATCTCCAGGAGCCCCCGGGGGCAAGCACAAAATAGCAGAGAAAAAGAGCGGGGAGAGAAGCGGGGCTGAAAAAGGGCTCAAGTTTTACCCTTTGCAAATATTTAACCCTTTGGCAGCCTGGGCCAGCCCCGCTGGGTGGACCCAGGGAGCTGCCAGGCCCCGCGCGGCTTGGAGCTCCGGTGTCTTGGTCGCGAGGGTGAAAGGACTTGTCACGTGCGCCCCGATGATCCCTGGACAGTTTTGAGACAGGGCATCCCTCCCCCTAATCGGCAGAGGACCATTGCACCCCCTTCCCCAGTTTGAGCTGAGGCTAGGGCTGGAACGGGAGGGTGTGTCCTGGGTTGGGGTTGGGGCAGCTGCAGCGGTTCAGCGCCCTTGGGCGCGTGGAGTGGCTGACACGAGTGCGCCTGGGGAATGGGGTGGGGGGCTCCGCGGGGCTCTGGCGCGCCTTGGGCAGGATTGGGGCACGCACCCGGCCCCATCCCCGACCTGCGTTAGAGTTGTGGCAACCTCAGAATAAAAAGAAAATGGCTTGGGGGAGCTGGAAAAAGCGAGCCACGCTTGCGTTTTCTTTCCTCAAAGTCAAGGAAGTGCTGGCACTCCTCAGATGGAGGTGGGCCTGCCCCTCCAGGGGATTTTCGGCAACTCAGATAAGGGCGGAGTTAATGGGGCCCAGCTCGGCGTGTAAGTGTCCGGAAACGGTTGCGCTGCTGGCGGCTGGTTTCTTGGGGGCGCGGCGGGCCGTTGGTTAGGCAGTTCCCGGACTACACACGCACCTTCGGAGGGTTGGCCGGCTGTGCGAGTCGACCCGGGATGGCTACTATTATTTTAAAAGCTCAATTTATCCAGACTATCTTGCTTTTTTTTTTTTTTAAGGCCGTCACAGGCTCTCGAATCAAGAGTTTTGACTTGTTAAGAGCTGTGCTTGTTTGCTTTTTTTTTTTTTTAACAGATTGGGATATTTTCATGCAATGGATTACAACCCTCTCTCCCTCCCCAGAACCCATAGGTCACAAATAGAATTCCGTGTGTGTATGTGTAGTGTGTGTGTGTGTGTGTGTGTGTGGCAGCATTTTCTCCGCCTTGGGAAATGTCGCAGGTAAAAGGAATTGCTGCCCGTCTGTGACTCTGGGACAGCGCCCGCCCCCTGGGCAGGTGGGCACCTTGTCCTACGTGGACTTGCAAGGAAGGGGTTTCACTGAGCCTGCTCCCAGCGGTCCCTGGTGAGGTGTCAGTGCTAGAGCTCCTTAGTCACATTCATAACTGTCAGCTTTAGCAGCTCTGAGGTCATCTTTAAACATCTCCCGTAAGGCGAGAGGGATTTCCCAGTGAATTCAATTACCTGCAACAATTACCAGCACTGTTTTATTATGCAGCTGTCCTGAACTTTTATAACTGGAGGAGACCCCCAGGGCGGAGGGAAGCACTTAGCTCCATGTAACAGGGGCTGGGGTAGGGGCAGGAAAATGGGAATTGCTTAGTGCTGGGTTACATTCGCTTTGGAATATGATTTTGTTTCTTTCTTCCCGGGAGCTTTATCTCCTCATTTGCGTAGTTCCGTGAAACCCTGGCAGAGAAGGGATTCCCTGGAGATGGAGAAGTTGAGCGCTCGATTTATCCCCAAAACTGTAATGCATATGGAGAGACGAAGAGTCTCGTCTCGAAAAACTTAATGGGCGGGCAGATAGGAATCCGCCTGAGTTCTGAATATGGACTAACAAAAAGCTGAGTGCTGCGGTGGGAGCCGCAAATGCTGGGGTTTGAAGGAGTCCTCGGGGGAAGGCCATTCTCTCTAGTGAGGGGATGACATCCCACCTGCCCAGGTGGCCCTGTGTGTTCCCCTAGAGAAAGCCCTCCAGGAGCAGCCCTGCGCTAGTCTGCCAACCAGGATGGTGAGAAAAAGCAGGAAATTCTAAGAGTTGATGAAACTGATGGGAGGAAGATTAGAAGCTTTTAAATGGGGGTCTGATGGATGGAAAAGTAAACTTTCTGGAAACTTCTAGGGACTCGCATCTTGTTGATGGAGACGGTTGGGGAGAGGCAGATAAAATAGACCCAGGGTGAGAGTGGTCGCGGGAGCAGCAAAGGGCACCAGGCAATAAACACGCGGCCCAGGGGAGCAAGCTGGGAGGCCGGTGGGCAGCCCTGCCGACAGGCTGCTTCTCCCTGGGGAGGCGCGATGATCGAGGTTGGCGGGGAGCGGGGCGTCTAAAACACTGGAGACGTGGGGGCTGCGACTTGAGGGAGTAGGCATGGTTTTCCCGGGCGGGCCCTGGGAGAGGGGGACAGGGTTGGAAGGGCGAGGTCAGGATCAGGCGCGGCTGGGGATTCGTTTAGGGGAACGCGGGGCGCTGACGGTTCCCTGTGCTCTACTGCCTGGACGCCGCCGTGTTTTCGGCCGGTGCGGGAACCCGGCAGAGGCCTCGGCCCCGTGAGAGTCCCCTGTGCCGCGGGAGTCCCCCCGCGTGTCCCCCCATGGTCACCTGGGCGAGACCCCTCCCCACACCCCCGGAGTTTAAGGAGCAGGAACTCGGCGCTGGCCTGGCTAGGGTGCAAGCAGGTGAAGAGACGCCCGGCTTGGGGGCAAGTGAGGAAAACAGCGGAAGAGAACTCCGGTTTTGGCCTTGCAAAGGGAAGAGGGGGGTGGCCATACCATTCAATTAAATGTTTAATTGGGAATTCTGGTACGGATTCTGGGAGGTTAATCACGGCTGTCTCCATTATTTATGGCTTTCTGGCACGTTTCCGACCAGATAAGAAGTATATTCTATTGAGAAGCGTCTCTAAGGAAATCTTACACTTGATGATGCCTTCGAGCTCCTAGGATCCTGCGCCCACCCTCGCCGCGAGTGTGCGGGTCTGCAGGCTCTGGGACCCTCCTACTGCGGCCCCGACACCTGCTCAGCTGCTACCCCGCAGCTCCTCCTCCGTTCTGCGTGAGCCGTGCGGTCGTAAAGCGGGAGCCTGGGCTGTCAGGAGGCGGTGTGCGGCTCGGTGGGTCAAACCGGCGGCACCTAGAATTTGGGGAGGACCTAGCGTGGGTCCTTCCTTTTCGGAGTTTTGTTTTTTTGAAATCGGACCTCTTTTCTCTGGATTTGCAAAGAACAGCAAGCAGCTGGGGGTGGGGGGAGGCTTAAAGTCCTGAACCTTGGGTAAGTAGGAGAAATCTGCTTTAAAAACACTTTTGGTTTTCCAGTGTCCGCGGCTCTCGGCGCATTTCTCCCCCTCACCTGCCGCCCTGCCCGAGGCCGCCAGAGTGCCCTGGGAGGGTTTCCGCAGCAGAGGTGGGCGTCCTGGGGCTGATCTTTCCCGAGGTTTTTTTTTTTTTTTTTTTGCCCTGATTCTGCAGTTGCGGTTGGGCGGGCTGTCACCTGGCGTGGCTTCCCACTCAGAACAGCCTTCCCCAGGGCCGAGCGGGAGTGAGCCGGTGGGCAAATCCATCAGCTGTTTCCTGGGAAGTGGGAATGACCATCCTTACCCACCCCCACCTGCAGCTGCCTAAGCAAGGTGAGCAACTCAGCACTGCAAACAATAATAAATTATTTTATTACAACAGAAGCTACGTGCTAATTGTATATTCTAATTGCACCAGTGGTACAGATGCAAAGCGTGCATCATCACCGATGGGCGTTCTCCAAACTGGAGTACTGTTCATCCGTGGAGTAAACTCAGCCTGGGCAATGGAGGGTGGCACATCCAGTGTCTGTGGTCGCGCCATCAGCAGTACTGTCCGTGGCATCCGGGGAAGGGGCGGGATGGCGGCCGGTTTGTTCAGTTTAAAAATAACACCGTTCCGGATACACAAACCAGCGAAAACATTTATTTTTTCTCTTTTTTCAAGAAAAACTGTCGCGCTTCTTCCCAGGCCTGCTGGGGAAATCTGTTAGCGAGCTCAAGGTAGTCATGGGGTCCGAGGGATCTTCCTGGGAAGGAGGCAGAGAGGAAGAGTTACATTCTTTGGAAGAAATTCGAGTTACTGTTAATCTGAGTGTGAAATAGCGATGTGCGCTTTAAGTAAGGCACGGCACATTTTCCATGGGTGAAGCTTGGATGTGTCTGCAGCATCAAATCCACAATAAACATTTTAACCACGGTGCAGTTTTGAGCTTCTAATATATTCAAACGTGAACCAGCCCCCTGCTCCTGTGTGCAATGCTAGGAGGAAGCTGGGGCTGTGGAATCTCAGGAAACCGCCAGCGTGGCGGGTTGGACATCAGGCTGGTCCCAGATGCCACGTGTCCACGGGGTGGGAAAGGGCCAGCTTGCATGTGGACGCCCATGCTTGTCTTCTGAAGTGGCCTGGTGGAGGCTGTGAAGTCCAGTCTTGACTTTTGAATTCTTCCAGTGTGTGCATGTGGGGGGTCAGCGTCTGCCCGAAGCAGAGGCAGGCTGCTGCAGCAGGCCAGGCCCACAGGGCAGCCTCCGTCCCTCCAGAGGCTTACCTTGGTCAAGAGCTCCAGCTGCCAGCAGCAAGTTTACAGGGATCCGATACAAGCAAAGGGAGGGCCATGGCTGCTGTGCCAGTTGGCAACTCCGTGAGCTGGCACTATTCCTTTTTTTTCCCCCCTTAAAAAAAGTAAGCCTACCAGGGGCTGTACCAAATGGGTGCTGGCAGACGGAGACTTGGCCTCCTATGGCCTGGGCCAGCGCCAGCGTGGAGATGGTCCTGCTGGGAGGGAGACTTCCTGGGTGTGAGCCCCACCCAGGCGGCCCCTGGGCCCTCGCCCTCCTGAGCGTGTGCAAGGGCAGTGTGACTCATCTTGGGCGGCCCAGGAAGAGCAAGCAAGCCTGGAGAACTCACTTCTACTGGGCAAAAAAACCCTGCGACATGACTGATGAAAAATCGGCACAGGGGCAACAAAGGTTGCCGTGCAGGAACAAGCAGTACTATGCTGATGTCCCCCAAGTCCTTGCATGTGAGCCCCAACTCTGGCTTGGGTAGAAGGACCAGGTAGCCCACTGGAACTTCTGAAAAGCTGCACTCAGAACTTTGCTGAGTGCCGTTGTGTCGTGGTCCTGGGACAGCTTCAGCTACATTTTCTCCTTGGCACATGTCAACACCTGCCTGCTGTGAGTGACTTGTTTTCTCCTGAGGCAGTCCCTAGTCCCCCCACCCTTGGAGGCCAGCAGGCTGAGGGGAGCACCAGGCCTGTGCTCCCCAGGGAGGCTGCCACCACAGGCTAAATTCTCCAAGTCTGACTATGGGAACTGCCTCAGCAGTCACACAATGGGAGGGAAAAACAAGTGTAAATGTTTTGGTTCCCAAACTATTAGCTTGATGCCTTTCTTTTTACGTTAAACAAAACAATTTTTTAAAATAATAGTAATTTTTAAAAAGTTCAAGTGCTTGAATTGCAGGAGGAAATCTGGATCAACACTTGTCCAGTATAACAGGAGTCATTAGTTACCAGCACTTCCCACGCTTGCACATGGCTGCACACGATCCACACAGACGCACCTGTGCCTGCACACGGTCCACGAACGCAGGGAGTGCACACATGATCCACAGTCACACACGTGCCTGCACACGGTCCACGCACACAGGGAGTGCACACATGATCCACAGTCACACACGTGCCTGCACACGATCCACACACACAGGGAGTGCACACGTGATCCACAGTCACACACGTGCCTGCACACGGTCCACGAACGCAGGGAGTGCACACATGATCCACAGTCACACACGTGCCTGCACATGATCCACACACACAGGGAATGCACACGTGATCCACACAATCACACACGTGCCTGCACACGGTCCACGCACACAGGGAGTGCACATATGATCCACAGTCACACACGTGCCTGCACACGATCCACACACACAGGGAGTGCACACATGATCCACACAATCACACACGTGCACACGATCCACACACACAGGGAGTGCACACGTGATCCACACAATCACACACGTGCCTGCACACGGTCCACGCACACAGGGAGTGCACACATGATCCACAGTCACACACGTGCCTGCACACGGTCCACGCACACAGGGAGTGCACACATGATCCACACAATCACACATGTGCCTGCACACGATCCACACACACAGGGAGTGCACACATGATCCACAGTCACACACGTGCCTGCACACGGTCCACGCACACAGGGAGTGCACACATGATCCACACAATCACACACGTGCCTGCACACGGTCCACGCACACAGGGAGTGCACACGTGATCCACAGTCACACACGTGCCTGCACACGGTCCACACACACAGGGAGTGCACACATGATCCACAGTCACACACGTGCCTGCACACGGTCCACGCACACAGGGAGTGCACACATGATCCACAGTCACACATGTGCCTGCACACGATCCACACACACAGGGAGTGCACACGTGATCCACAGTCACACATGTGCCTGCACACAATCCACACACACAGGGAGTGCACACGTGATCCACAGTCACACATCTGCCTGCACACGATCCACACACACAGGGAGTGCACACATGATCCACAGTCACACACGTGCCTGCACACGATCCACACACACAGGGAGTGCACACATGATCCACAGTCACACACGTGCCTGCACACGATCCACACACACAGGGAGTGCACACATGATCCACAGTCACACATGTGCCTGCACACGGTCCACACACACAGGGAGTGCACACATGATCCACACAATCACACACGTGCCTGCACATGGTCCACGCACACAGGGAGTGCACACATGATCCACAGTCACACACGTGCCTGCACACGGTCCACGCACACAGGGAGTGCACACATGATCCACACAATCACACATGTGCCTGCACACGATCCACACACACAGGGAGTGCACACATGATCCACAGTCACACACGTGCCTGCACACGATCCACACACACAGGGAGTGCACACGTGATCCACAGTCACACACGTGCCTGCACATGGTCCACGCACACAGGGAGTGCACACGTGATCCACAGTCACACACGTGCCTGCACACGGTCCACACAGAAGTGGCTTTCCCTGGGGTGTGCCAGATGATGCCCTTGGCTGGTTTCTCTGCCAGCTGTAGGGGCAAGGACTTTCACTTCCCACAGACACCTACCTCTGGGCGGCTGAGCCTGGCTGTCCCACCGACCGGGAGCCTGGGCAAACTCCTGTGGGAGGAGAGACAGGAGGTGTTTTCAGACCAGAGCTGCCAGCAGGGAACATTGCTGCTGATGCCCACAACCATGGTGGCACGGGGGATCTGGAGCTCGGGAGGGAGACACCCATGTCCCGCAGTGGCATTCTTGGAGGGTTTTACTAAGTACACTGTGAATGCCCTCAATCTTGCTACACATCACCAGGGCCCAGGCTTGCTGCCTACTTGGCAAACTACAATCTCTTATTTGCATCTGATAAATGCACAGAGGCAACCAACTAACTCTGCTAGAACACATAGTTTTAACATTTTAGAACCAAAAGCCATTCCATATTCTGTGTCTGAGTCTCTAAGTCTGGTCATTTTGACTGGGGAGAGTGCAACATGTGGCATCAGGTGTAAGACACCATCAGTTCCTACCTGAACATCATGTGGTGGTGACTTGGACAACCTGACACGTGGGTACTGTGCACAACCATTTTCTGAACCGAAGCCCTAGATTCAGCTCTCCCTGCCCTTATGCTGTGCTGCCTAATGAAGCCAGGCGGGAGACACAGACTGGCAGGCCGGGAGTGGTGTGTGTGTGGTAGAGAGGCGGATTTAGAGGTGCTTTGTGCTAAGTACCAGAGGAAGACCGGAAACATGCAATTCTGATACCATTTGTGCTTTCCTAAGTTAGCTAAGCGCCTGCAGACACGGGCTCAGCCGGACAGACGTCAGCGGGATGTGCGGGCATGCCCTGGCTGAGGCCCAGGCTCGGGGCCTGGGAAGCTGCTCCCTCCCTCTGCCGACTTGCCCCCTCTGGGCTTGGACTTGCCACCTTACTCATCTTTCTGACACCCAGCCAGAGATCTGAGCAGATTCTCCCATTGTCATCCTTGCCAGCTTGCTGCTGGGTGTTGACACCAACGTCGCCTGATGAATTGAAGTTGTGGCATGTGACCTCAGGAAGCTCACAGTCTAAAATGTCTCTGTATTTTCCGCTGGGTTTAATCCTGAAGCTCCCTAAAGCCACTGAGGCCCCTGGGCTGATGTGATGGCTACTTCCAAAAGTTCTTCCAAAAGAGAGTCATACAGTTTTATTCATGAGATACAGTGTCCGCAGACTTTTGGATGGCCTTTCCAAATAGTTTTGCACCAAAAGAAATTGACCTTTAGTTCCTTTCTGCCTACTTTCTGTAAGTTGTTGGAAGTGCCCTTGGATACATAAAAGTTTTAGCTTCCCCCCCAGGGCAGCTTCTAAAAATCCTTGCTTGTGGGGTTGAATATCTGACTGCGGAAGGTGGAGGTAAGGCAGACCTCGCTGACCTGGCTCTGTGTATTAGGATCCCCTGTGGGAGGCTGGTCCCAGGTGAAGGAGGTCCTTGGGGCATTTTCCTGGCTCCCCCTCTGCCAGGAACCCTTCTTGTGGGACTTGCCAGCACGCCAAGACATGATGCGGGCTGTCCCACCCTGCTTTCTGTTTCACTATCATGTGGAGGCCAGGCACTGTCTGCTCCCTGTAAGGAGCCATTCGGAGTGAGAGCACCGGTTTGATGATGGAACTTTGGAAAGAGAAGGGGAGACCTTCAAATACAGATCTACGATGATGACCAAACATACAAACGCTACATGGTTAGTTGTGAGCCCAGGCTAAGGAACAGCCGGCCAGCTTGGGTTTGCTGCCGTTGGCCACTATCGTAGATGAGCTAACGTTACCCCGCTCCAGCAAAGATTCTGACTCCCAACTTCACAGGAGCTAAGTCAGGAAAACAATAGGCTACAATGTTTTAGTTTCCTTTTTTCTTTTCAAGTGAGACAATGAGTTTTTATTTTATGTACACCTATAGGTAGGAGCGTATATTCCTAGGTTTTAGCAGGTTATGCTTGGCTGGTTGTTGTCTAGCGCCTGCAGCTGGGCTCCAAGGAGGCAGGCAGCCTGGGGGCGGCCGTTCCCAGAGTGCGGTCACTTAGTGAATCCTCAAAATCTCCCCGGAGAAATCACACAGCCCTCCGTGCTAGCCATCCTGGCCCTTCAGGGATGCATTTTTAAGGTCAGAAATCGGTGCAATGTTAATTTCTTTATTGCTTTCAAGTAACTCTGCAGGGAGGAGGGCCAGACAGAGAAAAGCTCCCAAATGCTACTTCTGGCTCACTCCCTAAATGCCTGCAATAGGCGGAAGCTGGCAGCTGGACGCTCCGTCCAGGTCCCCTGGGTGGGTGGGTGGGTGGTAGGACCACTGACTGCCTCCCACAGTCTGTTTTAGCAGGAAGCTGGAGTCAGGACTCAGAGCTGGGAATCGAATCTGGGCCTTATGCTGTGGAGTGTGGGCCTCCCTACCAAGTACCTTAACGGCCGGGACAGATGACATTTTGTGCAAGTGGGGTGTGTGTTGCAGGGTGGAGGCGGTGGGCTCCCCTCTGCCTTTGTCACCACGTGAGCTGCACAGTCCCCGTGCGGGAGGTACCTGGATGAAGGTGGCCAGCAGCACACAGCTCATCTCCCGCTCCAGGATGCTCTTGTTCTGACAGTTGTTGTAGCAGGCAGCGATCAGTGAGGGGAATAGCACCCGGACCAGCCGTGGGTCGCTGAAGTACTGGAAGGGCAGCTGGCACAGCTTCTGCAGCACTGTGGGGTGGCGGCCTGACTGCACGATGACCTGTAAGGGAGGACAAAACTTGGGGACTGCGCTCAGCAGCCTGGCCTGGTGGCATGGTGCCCGGTGAGAACCGCAGAGAACATGCCGGAAGCTCCCGGCGCTGCTGGCAGAGCTGGCGTTAGAGGAACTGGGAAAGAGCAGGAAATGATAGAAATCAGGAACAAAGATCCCAGGGGTCCTGCCGGTCATTTAAACAGCACAGCAATCTGTGAAGGAGGGTGTACACTCCCCATGCTGCCCCGACCCCACAACCATAACCCCAAAAACCTGCCTGTGAGGAGCTTGCCTGCAAGGCGACACTGCACTGGCCCTGCCCGCTGCCATCCCCCCTTGCTGGCCCTCCGGATGTACTCAGTGCAGAGAGAGAGAAGGGAGTTGAGAGGGGGAGTCGGGCAGTCTTGTGGTGGTGGTGGTGGTGGTGGGGGAGAGCCAGCCGTCCTCTAAAGCATCCTCCTTATCTTGGCTTCCATCTGTGCCCTTGAACCTAAAAGGAGAACTGTTTAGATAAACGAGACGCTGTCTTGCAGCGGGCTAGGTTTACAACTGTGTACATTTGAAGAAATGGCGCAATGCAATTAATGGCCTTTTTGCAAGGGAAGCCCCTCGGGCCTTCATGATAAACTAAGAAATGTCAAAATTGGATCTGTTTCCAGTAACTCTGCTAGTTCGGCTCTAATATGAAAGGGTTGGGTGACCTGGGCCCGCGTCGTCGTCGCTGCCGTCCGGGCCGGGGCAGCTCCCAGAAGGTCGGGCACACTGTTGAGACCCAGGGTCAGGGCTGTAAATCGTGCCTGGAAAAAACTAGGGTTTTACAGGTACACACCCAGACGGGGCTGCGTTCAAATTGAAACCAGAAGGACAGAAGGAAACCCGCGGAGGCAGGAGAGACATAAATTACAGGGATTTACAAGTTTTCAAAGTCCTTTTTAACAATACTTGGAGAATACAACTCTCAGATGATAATGCAGTTTGGTTTAAGCGCAGAGTCAACAAAGTAATAGTTCGCATATTTTCACTCAATAGCTAAAATGACATCAAAACCCTCCGGAGGATGCTAAGAGGGACCTGCTAATACTGCCAAATCCAGAAGGAATTTTAAAGACTCACACCGGGTGATGGCTGCACGCGGGGCTGTGGGCAAGTCGTTCCCCGTGAGCATCTGCCAGACCTTTAGTTATTAGCTACAAACTCTGTAACACGGCCAAGTGGTCACCACTTCAGAATTCGTAATGAGGCCATTACTGCACGTCCTCCCCCACTGCCCCATGAACAAAAATTAAGAACGAGTTTTTCTTTGGAACAGCATTGTTAAAATGCTATTATTGGAAGATTCACTAGTTGGAAAGAGATTAGACTGCGTGGCGTGGCTGGCTGGCACAGGCACGGCGTTAACTCAGAGATGTCAGTGTAGGATGTGGCAGCCTGAGTTCAGCCCTGTGGGGGACAGGGCTGGCACCTGCTGCCCATGTGTCCGGAGCTCAAGGTCATGGGCGGTGGAAGAGGATGGCCTGCTTGAGATAGGAGGGTCACCCTGCGCATAAGGAGCTCTTAAGTTTCCCCAGTTAGGGTTAAGCCAGGGTTGGCAGGGGGCTGGGAGCAGGACCTCCAGCAGGTACTATCCTTCAGACCACATTTCAGCCCATGTCCAGGGCTCCAGGAGGGGAACCAATCTGGCCAATGTAGGTGGGCTGTGGCATAGAGGGGAGGCCCCTGGGCACCACGGGCACAACTAGACTTTGGTTCCTAAGCTCCAGAGGCTGATGGGAGGGCTCTGCTTGACTGTACTCAGCCCATCACTCCAGGCCTCTCCAGCCCAGCATGACACAGTGTGACTTGTGCAGTACCCAGGGGCTGTCAGCCCCGCCTCTTGGGGTCCCTCTGGGTGACACAGAGCCCACCTGCAGAGAGCACTGCAGCAGTGGCAGGAGGCAGCCTGGCAGCAGATGCCTGTGGTGGCCACTGCTATCAGCTAGGGACAGCAAGCAGGGAGCAGGTGTGACCATGATAATGAGAAATGGCTTACTGGCTAGGGCACTCACTTTCAGATGCAGAGAAGAGCGCCAACGAAACCGTGGGGATTTGCAGCAACCTCCAGAGAGTGAGACCGATGTGAATGAACTCGGCTCTAGGGTGTGCCTCCTGCCTTGGGTCTCCAGTGACCCCCGTGACTGGGCACACACATACACACCCAGTGTGAGTGAAGAGCTCAGATTTCTCAGAGAACACAGCAGCATCACCAGGATGGAGAACAGTCCTGCCACTGAAAAGCAGACTGCTTGCAGTTTGAGTTTGGGATGGGTTACATGGAAAACGCATCTTGAATGAGGATGCAGAGGGTGTCTTCAGGGCCTTCCAGATCCTTCTTTGGAGGGAAGACATGGAGAGCACAGGCCACATGGAGTCCACAGGGTGTCTCACAGTCCCCAGGAAAAGTTAATTATCTACCCAAACACCCTAGTGGTCACTACATCTTAGTATCACTGGTGGGGCAGGAAGGCCCTGGGATGCTGCCCTCTCCTGGACTGTTGATGGTTCTGGGAGCAGCAGCGCTGCGTGCTGGCCACACTCGCTCTGGGTGTGTGGACACAGTGGGCCTGAGAAGAAGGTGCCCCAGGGCAGACAATGAGGCTGCTGCTGACCCTGCCACCTGACAAGTCGAGGTAGCATCTCCAAGGGAGGCCAGTTCCGATCCTGTGCCAGGTGCGGCATCCAGGCTAAGGGACACGGCATGCACAGAGGCAGGTACTGGGGCTCATGCTTTGGTTTTTAGGCAGCTAGCCTGGCTACTGATGGCAGGCATGTGACGAGAGCCCCAGGACCTGGGAGGAGGCTGGGGGTGCGCAACAGGCAGGGCTCAGTCATCACAGACACATGTTCGCCAGCGCTGGACACTGGGCTGGGATCAGGGCACCCGCACAGTTGGGTCAGGGTGAGGGTGCCCTGCTTGGCTGCAGGCAGGTGGTCGCAAGCTGTGCTCCGTGGTGGCTAATTTCACGGTGTCAACTGGGTGGATTAAGTGATACCTAGAGACTCAGAAGAGGCTTGTTTGGGGGAATACCTGGGGGTGTGTTTCCAAATGAGTGGGCCTGAGTGGGCCAGGTGGGACACACGCTGGCTGACTGGGGGTTGGGAGAGAGTAAGCACCAAAGGGGAACTGGCATCATGGTATGGTGAGGTAAGCCAGTTGTCAGGATGCCTGCCTCCCACACTGACTTGCTTGGGTTGAGTCCTGGCTGTTCTGCTTCCGAGCTGGCTTCTTGCTAATGGGCTGGGGCACCATTCACATAGAGCCCCTGGCTCAGGCTGCTGTTGGCACCTGGGGGTGAACCGGTGAGTGGCAGAGATCTCTGTGTGTGTGTGCGCGCCTTTAAGATAAATAAGCACAGAGTAAGAACCGGTCCAGCTCTGAGCCTGGAACTCCCCACGGCTGCCCAGCTTGGCTGGCGGCTGGTAGCCCCTGCACTGCAGCCTGTTTGCTAGTGGCCCAGCCCTTGGGCCAAGTCAAGAATCACCCCCTAGTTTTGAGACCCATGGACTTGCACTAAGCCATGTCCCCACCTCCCAGGATGCTTTTGAGGGACTTTTCGATGGCCCCCAGGCACAGGTCACCTCTGACAAACCCCCTTCCCACCTGTGTCTGTGTTCCAGCAGCTGTGTTGCTGCAGGCTTGGCTGAGTGTGCCTTTGGAGGGCCGCCACCACCACTGGGGTAGGACCCCACCTGGAGGACCCTGTTCATCCCTTCACCAGGTCCCAAAAGCCTTGTCTCCCAATGCAGCCACATCGGGGGCTACTATGGCAGTCACAGCATAGCCCTGGCTGGCTTTCTATCACCCAGCCATTGCTAACCTGGTACATGGCTATTGCCGGGGAGAGCTGGTGGTCCCGGGCCAGGGCCTGGTCCTGCCCCCTGGTCTGCTCTGGGCTCTTGGCTAACTTGAGTCTCAAGGGCCTCTTAGGACAGGAGGGCAGTTGACAGCCTTCAGGGCCTGCTGGTCCCAGCCCTGCTGCTCCAAGTCTCCCCATGGGGGTGCTTCCCCACCCCTCCACAGGGGACGCTTGTTGCAGCAAGGGGCCTGGCATGGACTCCTCAGCAAGCTAGCTCTGGGTCCCCCAGGAGGTGAACTGCTGAGATTCACCCCACCAGGGGCCCAGCCTACTGGGAAAGTGCAAACAGTGCCGAGCGTGCCAGCTGGGATCCTGGGGTGGCAGAGTAGAAAATGCATCTGACAGCTCTGAGGAGAATCTCCCACAGTGCAGCAGTCCCAGAAATGCAGGCATGGCTCACTGGCGGCACGTGTGTCCGGAGGGTGCTGTGTCCTACCTATCCATCAGAAAGTGCCACGGCTGCTGCTGTGCACCTGGGAAGAGCGGCCCTGAAGCACCCCTCAGCCCCAGCAATTCCCCTGGGGGCTCTACTGCGGCCCTAAGTGCTGGGTTTGCATTCCACAGGTTAGAGCTGTGATTCCTACTGCTACATGTTTCCTGGCCGGTTGGAGGGCCAGGCACAGAGAGATCGGCAGAGTGGCTGGCGGGAGGGAAACCAGCAGTTGGGGGTCCACAAGTGCCCTCCTTGTGTGGGGAGGTCACCAGTCTTTCCTCAGGAGCATCTGGTGGGATGTGGGATCCCCAGGGGTCCTCATCGTGCTTCCTAGGTCTGTATGGTTGGGAGACAAGCTGTGTGCCGCCCAAGGGGGGAAGTAGGGACTGTGACCCTCAGCTCCTGGGCAGCAGCTCACACATGCCTGGCCTGGCTCTAAGGAGCGTCTGGAAAAGATCTATCTGTGTCCTGGGTGTGGGCGACACTGGCGTCTCCTAGGGTAGGAAGGAGCCCACTGGCTTTAGCATGCTGCCACTTCTCGGCCATGACACTGTGGGGAAGGCCTGTCAGGAGCTATACAGACTCAGAAGGCAGTAGAGCCCTTAACCCACAGTACCTGTCTCCAAGCAGCATAGGCAGGCAGCCAGACACGTGGAACACGCACACGCATGCTGGTTCCA